ATGGCCCTTTTCGTGGCCCTAGGAAGTGGCCCTCCACGGCTCACACCAGCTAAACTCCACACAGCCAGCCGGATAATCTGGCAATGAGACAAAGTTATCAAATACCTGTAACTGAGCGACTGGAATGCCACTCGCCGCCGTGTGTTGGCTCGATTGGGGGCGCTCGATAAAGGACGTTGGGGCTGGGGGGCTGATTAAGGGGGGGTCGGGGGCTGGGATTGATGGGGGGGTTGGGGGGGTTTGGGGAGAGGGGGGTTGGATGCTGGGATTTGGGATGGGGGGAGGAGGGGATTGGAGGGGGAGAGGCTGGGGGCTTGGAATAAGGTGGGGGGGGGGGGGGACCTTGGGGATGGGGGGTCGGAGGGGGAGGGGGAGAGGGAGGAGGGGGGGAGTAGTTGGATTTGGGGGTGGGGGCTGATTAGGGGGGGGGGGCTGGGAAAGGGGATGGGATGGATTGGGATTGGGGGGGGAGAGGGAAAGGGGGGGGAGGGGGGGAGGAGTGGATTGAGGGGAAGAAAAGGGTAGGGGAGAGGGGGGGAGGGTTCGGGAGGGGAGGGAAGGGGTAGGGGAGCAGGGAAGAGGGGGAGGGGATGGGGGAGGATTGAAGGGCTGAGCCCTGGGATTTAGGCGCAGGCGGAAGGGGAGGGGGGGGGAGAGGGAGGTGATATATATATGATATATATATATATATATATATATCTATCATATATATATATATATATATTATATATAATATATAATATATATATATATATATTATATATATATATTATATATATATTATATATATATATAGTATATGTATATATATATATATGTATATATATAATATATATATATATATATATATATATATATATATATATATATATATATATATATATATATATATATTTGTTGTGTGTATATATATATTATATGGAAAGAGAGAGAGAGAGACCACAGAGAGAAAGAAAAAACGAAAAAAAAAAAAAAAAAGAAAGAAAGAGAGAGACCGAGACGAGATACCAGATCCCCTCCAAACCCCCAACCCCTCACCCCACCCTCTCCTCCCTTCCCTCACCCCCACCCCCACCACCCCACTGCGAGAGAGAGAGAGAGAGAGAGAGAGAGAGAGAGAGAGAGAGAGAGAGAGAGAGAGAGAGAGAGAGAGAGAGAGAGAGAGAAGAGAGAGAGAGAGAGAGAGAGAGAGAGAGAGACGCTAACAGCACAGCGATTCCACCGCCAAAAAAAGCCCGCCTAAAAGAATTCATCCTTCCCCATAAGGAATTAATCGAGATTCGCGCGTGTGCAGAATAAGCAATGTCTATCTTTTTTTTATGGATTGTGAGATTATCTGTAGTAATGGAATGACTTTTAGTAACAATTCTGCATCGGCAATATTCGATATTCTGTGAGTTATGATAAAAAAATGAGAGGACGGCATTGTTTTCCATCGCGGGCGGGCGGGCGGGCGGGCGGGCGGTAATCAGACAAAAGCGGAGGCAGGAGAGGATGGGGGGGAGAAAGGTTAGATGGGCTGGGTAATAGGAAGGAAAGGTTAGGTGAATATTAAGGGAAATAGGAAGGAAAGTTAGGTAAATAGGGAGGGAAATAGGAAGGGAAAGGGAGGTGAATAGGGAGTGAAATGGGGAAGAAAAGCTAGGTGAATAGGGAAGGGATAGGAAGGAAAGGCTAGGGGAATAGGAAGAAATTAGGATAATAAACAAGGAAAAGTAACAAGGAAAAAAAAGGTAGTTTAGGAAAGGAAAGCAAGGATAAGCAGATTTAAAGAGGAGGGGGAGGATAAAGTTAGACAAGGAGGATAGAAGAAAAGGATAGTAAAAGGAGAATAGGAAGGATATCAAGGATAAGATGGATAGGCGGGATTAGGGTAAATAGGCAGGGATAGTGTTGGGAAAAGGTAAGGCTAGTCAAAGAAAGGTTAGGAGAGAAATCCAATAACCGGAAAGGATAGAAAGGATAGTCAAAGGATAAAGGGATTGTTCGAGGGATAGTCAAGATTGAGGATTGGATTAGATAGATAGAGACACGTGGAAGAAATAGACACAGAAAAATTAGAGCTAGTAAACACGATAAATGACAAGATTACTATAACAAGGGATGGGATAGTCACGGATGGTGAAGAGGGATAGTCAAGGAAATCCTCAAATAAGTGAAGTAGGGGAAGGAAGGATAGTAAGGAAGGAGATAATAAGAATAGAGATGGATTACCGAGGGATAGTCAGAAGAAAGTTACCACAGCTGTTCACCAAAGCAAGGAATTGACGCAAGAGAATTGATAAGAGGATTGATAAGAATTGATAAGACATATTATGAGGGAGAAATGTTTGGTAAAAAATTGCTGGGATAGTCGCCGAGAGAGAATGATTAGAGAAAAAAAAAAGGATAGTCAGGGAAAAGGGGAGCGAGGATGTAAAAAAAAAAAAAAAAAAAAAAAAAAAGAGAGAGAGAGAGAGAGAGTAGAGAGAGAGAGAGAGAGAGAAGGAGAGAGGAGAAG